AAGAGAAAGCAGAGAACAGAGCAGATTCCATATTACTACCAGAGTACACATACTGTCTTGAACTTTCTGACTTCAAAGGAACCATGGTGAAATACTGTAACACTACCTCTTTCTAGGAAAGGGTTTACCCATTCTGCCTCTTTTAATCAAAATGTCATGAATTTACATCATAAAAACAAAAAAAAAAAAACATAATCATTTCACATTTTCTTAGACTGTAGAAGAAAAACATTGAGTAAAGCTGATTTTCTTACTACACGTAACAGTAAAACTCCCTCTGCTGGAAATTACAATGCGAGACAGCAACAACTTCCCAGGATCTTTAAAAAGTAAAATAAGTAAGAATTTTTCTGTAGCATTTAGAATTTCTGCATAAGAATCAAGAAACTATCAAGACAAGAGCTTTCTCTAAGCAAACCAAAGTCTCATCTTCATTTTAGTAAATGATTTCCTCAGGATGGCTGATTCCATAAATTCTCTTTATAAATACTGAACATATCTTTGGAAACCAGCAGATCTTATCACTTTCAAATTATATGGCTTTATCTTATTAACATAGTTATTTTGAATTAAGGTAGAGTTTTTTCACATTATCTTCAGTCCTAGCTTGAAGTATACAATGCCTTTTCTATTTCTGTTTAGAGGGGGATGATCTCAAATGCTGACTTCAAAAGCAGTAAAAACTATTTTCTTTTTTTCTGTTTCTACTGACAGTGAGAACAGGCGACTCCAAAACCAGGCTAGAGTGCCTTTATAAGGCACTTTCTTCTACTTCCCCTACAGGCATCTAAATTTTGCTCCTCCTAAATTGGTGTATTAGTCAATTATCGAGGCACAGGAAGACAAAAATCTTGCACATTTCTCAAATGATTCACTGCTCTGGTGCAGAACTGGAGGCCAAACCTCAGTAATAAACTCACTTAGCAGAAATTAGGTATTTCTTCCAATCTGTTTTTATAAACACACAGAAAGAGGAGTCTATGGCAAAGCAACCTCACAGACTTAGTGGTAAAATCAGAGAGGTGAATTTCAACTTTCTGAACATGACTTTGTAGATGAATTTGCCTACAGCATGAATCCAAAAGGGGCTATAGCTCCACTGTCACGTTCTTACTGTCCTCAGTCCCAGTAAGGAGATGGTTGGATGAGACAAGTAAAATACTGCCATGAAAAGGGCAGATCCCCTAATCTCTGTTCAGTCCCCACTTGCCCTGTCTCCGCTGTCCAGCTGGCTACGTGGTGAGCCAGGCCAGCTTGGTAAGCCAGGTTTTGAGGGGTTTTGCTCATAGTTTCCTGTGGAATGGTCAAGGCAACACCAGAGTGGCACAAGGGGAAAGGAAAGGCACACGCCTACAGCAGCACTGGGGAAGTGACACTGCATCCAGCGCATCACTGAAGCACAAGAAAGGCTCAGACAAGGTAATAGCACCCAGAAGGAAGAGAACACAAGTCTGGTCTTGGCCTCGAGGAAGCAGCTTCTGCTTCCACAGCACCAGCCCATGAGAAGGGCCCTTGACGGACGAAGAGAAAAAGTTTCAGAACTTGCATAGAATCCAATGGCTTCACTGTTCTAAGTGACCTCCAGCACTTGAGTGCAGGGACCGCTTCTCTTTACTTCCTACATTTTCTTTTTTGGGAGAACAGGGACATTATCCTGTAACTGTGTATCTTCCACCTATGCATGGATCTTCCAAAGTATATAACAGTTCTTTAATTTCCATGACCATTGTTAGTGTAAATACAACAGCCCTAGGCAAAAATCTATGTAGCCTTCAGATTTTTTTTAACACATGCTATTTGCTGAAAGAACTGAGTGAGCTCCAGGCACGTTTTTAAGATTCACACATTCTTTGCTATGTATTTAAGGTTACAGACAAAGTTAAAAATCCACAGAAGAAAAATAGAAACAGACAAGTACACTTACATTTATCCACATAGACTCATTTCCCTTGAACATTATTATTATTATTACTACTACTACTATTACGCCAATGGGCTATTCACTCTTACAATAGCTTTAAACAGCTTATGCTGAAAAATGTTACTGTAAAAATCAGCTGTCAACACAATACTCAGTTTTACCAGAGCTAGTAATTGGATTTGGGGATTTCAGTATAAATAGTATACAGACTTAAGAATGGTTTGAAAAATCTAGATAATCCTATGTGGCTTGAACAGTCAGTTCTGTCATGAAAAGGCAGAGTTTTTTCATCCTTTTCATCCTCTTTCAAAAGGGTGTCTTGACTTCCTTTTCTTTTTAAAAGGCCTCAAGACAGAAGATGAAAAATCCAACACTTTACATACTAACACACTAATGTGCTGTATTGTTATGTCAAATGATCTTTTCTCCAAGGACTGCTTCACAGTTTCCTTTGAAGAGGTATCTTTGCCTTCCCTCCTTTCAGAGAATAATACCTCCTTTTATAGACAGGATTATTCCCAGAGGATCTGTCATCATCTGAAAAAACTGGAAGATATTAAGGCCACTCCCAATTATCTGTTTCTTCTTCTCCAATTTCTAGATTCATAAGTTATTATTATTATATCTTTTAAAAAGCTTTACTGAAAGAGCACACAGATTGAAAATGTTGCTGTCTTGTATTTCTCTTGGAAGTGATGATACCAACAGCTTT